TCATCATCATCATCATCATCATCATCATCATCATCATCATCATCATCATCATCGTCATCATCGTCATCATCGTCATCTTCATCATCATCATCATCATCATCATCATCATCATCATCATCATCATCATCATCATCATCATCATCGTTGAAGTCATCAACGTTTTATATGGTTGTTGTATGTGTTTTTTGTGTGATTTTTGTATGTGTGTAAAGGAAGATGTATTAAGACGGTTAAAAATGTGCAATGGCTTTTTATGCAGTTCTTTTATTTATTTATTTTTTGTTGTTGCAGGATTCTCTAGTCGTCGCAGCTGAGATTAGAGTCTACGCATTTTGTGGACAGTGTAACTGAGTCTAGCGCTGCGAAAGAAAACTTCAGTTCTACCAGACCAGCCTTGTCTTATAAATTATACGGAGAAGGGGAATAACCATTAACACCCACGTAAGTACGAGAAGTTCGTAAGTGCTGTTACTGCGAAGCGAACATTTGCGCCGGACGTTTCTGTTGGTATCGATTCTCTTTTAGCGTATGAGATGGGTAGCCTGTTATACCTTGTAACATCGTAATTATACGTGTGTGCATTCGACCTATTCTGTTCGTGAAATATATACGTTATTATTTTTTAAAATGTCATGACGATCCGTGTATTTATAAAATCATAAGAAAGAGTCTTGGTACTTGCCCTCCCCCTCCCCCTCCCCCAATCTTTCCTTTTTTCCAGTAAATTGTTTTCATAGTCCTCATGTCCATATGAACAAAATGAATTTCTTAAATCACACCTGGTAGGCTTATTCGATACTGTCTTCATCGATACCACATTTAAAATTCGCCCCAAACTTCCTGTACTCTGTTCCTCTGACAAGATTGATAACATGTCAAGAGGAGGCCACATATATCCTTGGGGTGGGCAGTAGGCAGCTGTTGTGAAGAATACAAATATTCCATAAAAGGTAAGGTAGGACCTAGCCTAACCATTTGCGTATTTCTCTAAATGCTCAACTCCAGGACATTTCGGAGTGCGCTTTTTATCATATTTGTCTTAGCAGAAAATTGATTTTCCATTGTGTGGGCTACACAATAACGATCCCGAAGCTTTGAACAACGGAATTACAAAATACAGCCGAAACTGTCTACCTGCCGCCCTTTGTTGATGAGAAATCTGTCTGTCTAAGACAGGTGGCCGTGTTACACAGTTTCATTTTAATGTAAAAAAAAAAAGCCCAAACCCCAAAACACGCAAGGGAGGAAATGGGAATTAAACGGTCGTTTTGTACAGGTTATTGTCTTATACAAGTGACCGTCAGAGCAGGTTGGACTGTGTAGTGTGTTTGTCGTGGGTGTTTTTGTTGTATTGAAAGGTTACACATCTGAGGCGAAAATTTGTTTTCATTTCTCTACTGAAATTTCTTTTTAAAAAGCCCCACTCTGTAACAGATTTACTCGTTTAAAGAGAAGACAATGATCATATTCTTATATCATAATGTAGCTGATGACACATGTATTCCTTTGACCTGACTGCTTATTTCAAAGGTTTGATCTTTCAATGGGTGCGTGACTGCGGGATAGGAGGCATCTTATGTTTTGCTTTCTTTCAATTTTTTCCCCACTCTTTTATGCATGTAGGCCTAGATCTCTATGTGTCATGGTTTTCCCCTTTTTTTTTATGGCGAGCAGTCCTCTTGCATGTCGTAGGCTTGCAAAACCAGGCGATTTTACAGGATAGCTCAGGCTGAAGTTTTTGACAGCGCCGTGCAGCAGGCCATATTATTATGTCGAAGAAATTGGACACGAGGTTGTCGTTCACTGTCGTGCGTGTTTTAAAAAAAGAAAGGAAGAAAGGAAAAAAGAAAGAAAGAAAAAGAAAGAGAAAGAACGAGAGAATAGAGAATTAAAATAAATAAATAAATACGCGCGGCGATAAAACGTGTCGAGAGAATCTCAAGTCAAATTTGTCACAGTCGAGGCCAGGAAACAACATGCAGCAAGGGGAT